TCTACTTTTTTGTCTCTCCAATTTTGGAGACATGTTGGATGTGAGAAGACGCATTGATTTTTCACTTTGTTCATCTTTTTATTTGTTGTTGGAATGTAGTGACAGCTTCTAAGTTCTTTATGTGCTGGTCTAGAAACTGGACATTGATTTTTTTAAAAAAGGCATTGCAATTACTGGATGATTATCTTGATCTTGCTTACACTCAGTTTTATACTTTAATGTGGTAGATCTGTGGAAAGACAAGATCTTTCTCAAACTCCTCTAACAGTTTGGGATAGGTCTGGGATAGGCCTTACTCTAAGGCCCAATTTTTACTCCGTAGTACCACCTGTTTGGTGTCTCTGTTGGACACCAGGGCTCTTATCAAGATCTCTCCATTTTGGCAGGGCCAGAGCTACAGTATCCCTAGCACTCTCTTCCTGGATAGAAAATTCTATATTTAGAAGAGTTGTATACTACCTTTACTGTTTTAAAATAGAGGACTAACTGTGTTAAATTCAGGGCATATTAACAGGGATATCCTTGTAGAGCTTTGTTGATGCCCTCTGTATGTTTTCCTGTGGATCATAGCCAGATCGTTGCAGCATTGAGAGATTTGAACAACACCAGCAAACTGGGAAGTATACTGGGTATAATGATTGACTCTCCAGTTCCTGGACAGTCTGGAACATTAGGACATTTATGGTTAGGGTAATGGCAGTTAGTACAGATAGGCACTGATGCAGATGCAGTCTTGCCTATTATGTTCTGTTATGGTGTCTAAAACAGAACATCAGTTTCTGCAGTGAGACCGAATGACAGTAATTATAATTATAAATGAGACAGTTGCCCCTAATAAATTGCTAGGGCTCCCATGCTGCTAATGTCTGTTAAGGCCATCCTCCTGGTCCTTATCTCTGTATGGCTAGTCAGTCATGTGGGCCCTACCTCTATGGAAGGTTACTTGTTTGGAGATAAATTCACCAAAGCTACTTGCTAAGGTCAAAACACCAGATAATCAGCTTACATCTCTCCTAGGCTGCAGCAGTATGACTTAGCTGTCTTAACGAGACTCTACCAACCTATTCACACACACTCTTGTCTAAACCCTACAAAATACCTTAATCACTCCTTTCATATAGATTTTTTTCTTATATTTCTCAATGATCCTGGCTGGTGCACTAAATGTTGAGGTCTCTTTACTGCCCAGGATATGAACAAATTGACAAGATAAAACAATAGTGGGAAAAATATCAGCTTTATTACTCAGAAAAGCTCAATTAGAGAATGTTGCTTAGTAATATAGTTAAATGGGCTTGTTCACTCAATGCTAAAGTTTGGCTGTCTGACCCACTTACTAACTAGGTGAGACCAGTAGAGTGGCCTGCCTATTGTAGAAATGGAGGTTGCTTGCTCTCTCTGGGCAGTTTGTTCCCAAGGGAAAAAAGGATAAAAATAAGTGGAACATGTTCAGTTTATTAAACACAAACTAGTGAAGACACCAAGATTTAGACTAATTGAACTTCTTCAAGAAGAAGGAAGTAGTAGTAGAGAAGCATTTTCTTCCATGTCTGTATTTTCTGATTTTATTCATTTCAGACCATCTATACTGATTCCTTGCAATGGAAAGTGATTTAACTCACCTATTCTTCCCTGTCTCCTTTCCTCTTATCCTCCCAACATAATTCTAATTTTGGTTAAATAAGTATTCAGTATTTACATTTTACAGTTATTCTATCCTTTATAGAATTTTGTTTTTATTAGAATTAATAAATATCTCTGTTCTATTTAGTCTAGTTTTTATAGTCTTAACTCCAATGGAGCCCAGAGCTTTTTTCTAATTGCATTAGTATATCCAAACGTAAATACTTAATCAAATTTATATTCTTAAAGTAGATTTTCCTGGAATAGTCTGAAGGCTTAATACTGGACTTATTGTATATAAGTACTCTTGAACTAGTGATTATCTTAGTGTCTTACCTTCACCATTATTCTTAAGGTCTTCCTCATCTTGCTGTTATTTTAGATGTTCTATGACCCAGATGTCATGTTTTCCTTCTCTTGGTATATTCTCATGTTTTGTAGAGCATAGATTCTAATAATTTCTTAATAAAGAATATATGGGAGGTAAATCTTTTGAGAGGCTGCATGTCTGAAAATGTCTCTAGTCTACCCTCACACTTAATTCATAGTCTATATCCTGAGTGTAGAATTCTAGGTTTGAAGTAATTTTCCTTCAGAATTCGATGGCATTGCTCTATTTTCTTTCAGTGTTGCTGATAAGAAGTTTGATATCTTAAAAAAAATCCTTCATCCTTTGTATGAAATCTATTTCTCTCTGGAAGTCTGTAGGACCTATTTTTATACTAATAATTCTGAAACTTTATGATGGTTTGCCTTGCCATGGATCTGTTTTTGTCATTTGTGCTAGACATATGAGTGAGCTCTTCCAGTCTGGAAGTTTCATAGAATTAACTCTTTGAATTCTTCCATAGTTACTGTTTAAACTTTCACATGGTGCCCATATTTTTAGCAATGTGCCCTGCTCACAGCTGTGAATGGTATACCCCATGTTTTACTCTCCCCAGTGAACTCCAAGCCTACTCTTGTGGGAGAGTGGGGAAGGTCAGGTTGTGCAGTAATGGGAGGTGATATGACTGGTTAACAACTTCTAAAGCAGACTTTCAAGAGTCCTATATTTTTAGCATCAACCTTGCCCTCACAGCCAGACATATGTTAACCTATTGGGAGTTCTGTAGTGATTATCAAGTTGTTTCTGTGCTTTCTCAACTATTGGCTTTTGATTCAGCTTTCTCAGTTCTAAGTAATGTGACATCGTACAATTATTATAGGAATATATGTCCTTCTTTAATGCATTATAAGATCTGGTAGTGGATCTAATGAACATGATGAATACTGATGAACAAAAATAATATTTCATGGTATCTGCAACAGCAGTAATATTGTATGAAATTATCTTTGATTTCTGTTGTTTACCAAGTCACATGTACTGCTAAATACTGTGATTTTTTTGTTTACATTAGTAAGTGAAAGAAAGTTCATTTAGAGGATAGTATGAAAATAAAAATGTACTCTTTCTCATTCACTTTTCTGGCATTTCTGAATTCTACCATGGACCCAATTTAGAACTCCTGAATTAACTGAAACATGGTGGTATATGAGACCGTAATCATGGTTTTCAATATTTGTCCATTTTTCAAAGAGGCCTAGCCTACAGTATGTAACCGTGATCAGTGTTTTCATTCATTCAACAAGTATTCCTAAAGTATCAAATAAATGTAAGACACTGGGCACCAGGGATACATTAGTTAACAAAATAAACCTTTGTCTTCCTGAAGTTTACATTTCTAGTGGAATATATAATTGGTTATAGTGTAGCCTATATTAAAAGACATAGTTTATATCATCACTACTAATAATTGAAATCACTTATCTTTCTGATAATATTCTTAGTTGAAACAACTTGAAAGATTTTATTATAAAAAGTAATGTTTATTTTTTAAAAGTGAGATTGAGAGGCAGAGAAGAAAAAAACAATACCACCACCCATTATTGCACTAATCAGACTAGCCACTGTTAACACCTTGTATATTTTAGCTTCCTTTTTATATATACATTTATGTATATTTAAATATGCATAATTCATAAAATTGGTTTATACTATTAAAACTTATGTAATTAAACATTTTTTTGTCAAGTGTTTACTTCAATTTTAATGGCTGTATAATATTTAATTTTATGAGAATACCTGAATTTATACTTTAGGGTTTTTTAAAAAAATATTTTACTATTTAAAAAAAAATCCTTCTCATTTCTTATAGCTGAATCTTAGCAACACACCTTTGGTTGATTATTCTAATAGTTTATTATGAAAAAATTTAAATATATGGAAAATTTGAAAGAATTTTACAGTAAACATGCATATACTCAAGACCTAGATTGTCTAATTAATGTTTTAGCACACTTACTTTACTACATATCTATTCTGTTATTCATCCCTCTTTAGTTAATTGTTTAGTAAATATTTAGAAGCTGAGTCATTCATTTTTCAGGCATATTTTAATATATTTTTTTAAATTTATGCTTAAATTAAATTTAAATTTTTATTGCTAATTCACACTCTTACCAGTGGCGTATTAGTGCACTTTGAATCCTCGCCAACACTGGGCTTTATTGTTCTTAATGTAACTTTTTGATAGTTTTTGATATTTAGGTTGTTACAAAGTAAGTTTCTTATTTTAGCTCTGTGATAAGTCTCTTTATACATAATACTCATAAAACTGCATTTATTTATAACATGCTTTGATCATCTAATCTCCACTTTAGATTTTGAAAAGAAATACATATATGTAATTTGTTCTTTGTGATACTTAATGTTTTTAAGTGGAAATATTGTGCCTGTTCATTAATTTTTTAAGATACAGTTGGGATTTCAATCAGGAAATCACTAGTCTTTTTATTTTTAGGTTATGCACTACAGTGTGCAAATAAGTACTTTAACTAGAATATTAGCTGTAGCATATTCACACTTTTTCTTTTTTCACAGAGTAAATGAGCTAAAGGGGAGAAATGATTCATTGAAGCAATCAAAAGTAGAAATAGAATCTCATGAATCAAATATTTTTCCACTCACTGGTCCTTTGTCTCACTTCTTGGACCTTTGTTTTATTCCTTGGACCTGTGTTCTGTTCAATGTAACACTATAACTGACTCAGGGGAAATAAAGATATAAATTTGAAGTGTTATGCAATCTAGCCACCTAAGTGGGCATATATAGTGTGAGTTAGTTGAAGCAAGGATGTAGATTAGAAGGTGAAAACTTCTAAAACTTACACAATACTGTTTTAGGTTATAGGTTGCTTGTTTTTTGTTTTAAAAGTAGTTCATAAAGAAATTTTTAACTTTGATATCGCTATTTTTAAAAATTGTATGGAAATTTCACTAGAAATATGTTATCTTTGTTATTTTCTAAGCATTTAGCCAAATCTTTTTATTCACAGCTTGGCTCAAAATGCAGAGAACTCAAAGATATTCATTTCGGCCAGTGTTACAAGATCTCAGATGAAGGCATGATCGTCATAGCTAAGGGCTGTCTGAAATTACAAAGAATATACATGCAGGAAAACAAATTAGTAAGTACTTATTATCATGTTTTTCATTTTGTTTCTAACCTTTGAATTCCATTGAAATAGCTTATAAATTTTCTTCTGCTTATTTTCTTTTGGTGGTTTAGGAGCATATACTACTTAAAAGCAAGAATCTTCTCAAAACAATGATTTTATAAACTGATCCTAAAACTATATAGGTGCTTATATGTGTTACTTGCATGATGTCAACTAACTCAGGTATTTGGATAAAGCTAAATTTACTTGTCAAACATAAGTATGTGGCTGTAGTTCCTTCTGATTTCCCTAGAGCTTATAATAATTCTGGATAGGATTTTTTTTTTCTTTTTTTGATATTCACGAAGAGCTACACTTGTGAAATAGAGCCTCTCACTTAGTTTTGGTGAAAATTGGGATTCAGTAAATTGAGGCAGATAATCTTAGTAGTTACATAGACTTTATAGTTTAAACACATATATATGTAACTCATTCACATTGATGTATTATATATATATATAATATACTTAAAGCCATTTAATTTTCTTTCATTGAGATATAATTCACATATCATAAAATTCACCCTTTAAAGTGTACAATTCTGTGATTATAGTATAGTCTCAGAGTTGTGCCGTCATCATTACTAATTATAGAACATTTTCATTACCCCCAAAAGAAACCCCTGTGCCCATTAGCTTATCTGTCATTACCCATTTTCCCCTTCCTTCAACCCCTGGCAACTGGTAATCTACTTTCTGTCTCTATGAATTTGCCTAATTTAGGCATTTCATGTAAATGGAATCACACAATATGTGGCTTATTGCGTTTGGCTTCTTTCACTTAGCATAATGTTTTCATGATCATCTCTGTTATAGCATGTATCAGAACTTTATTTCTTTTTTTATGACTTGATAATATTCCAAGTCTATTTAATTTTTGTTTGATAGGTACATGGTACAAATTAACAGTAAAAGTTGTCACTAGGGAGGCACTAGTAGAGTGAGTTTTCAATGTTGATAAATAGTGTACTTTAAAATAGGCAAGGCAGTCCTGAATATATAACATATATGCTTTTTAATTATATCCCCAAAATAAGATCTTTTTGATTCCTCTTGGAGTTTATAAAATTTGGTAAATACATCTCATATATTACTGTAAGTTTTGAAAGATCTCTAGAAACATCAGCACTTCAAGTGAGATAGTGCTATCTTAAAAATATTCCAATTAGAAAAAGTGAAACATTGTGAATTAAAAGTAAATGCTTTTATTACTACATAGAATTATATTTGTCTCTGAAATTATATAGCAAAAATACTTCACATTCCTGTTTACTACATTTAATACAGATTTAATAATCATTCCTGAGGCAGTATGATACTGCAAGGGAATAAGGTCTGCTGTATCAGAGAGACTGAATTTTTGAATTTTGGCATCTACTTACTTGCTATACGACCCTGGAAAAGTTTCTTAAGCTCTCTGAACCTCACCTACAAATAAGGTTAATACTTGTCTTTTTGCACATTGTGGCTTTGCAGGTTAAAAGACATAATGTCCTTAAATTGGTTAGTACAAACTCTTGACCCATAAACAACTACTAAAAAACTAGTAGTTTTTATGAGATTTTGACTATATTTATTGTCTTTTGGTTTCCACTTTATACTCAAGATAAAGGATAGTAGTAGTTCCAACTTAAAATTTTTGTATTTCTCACATAATGGGAATTTTTGTTGGGTAATATTTGTTTTCTTATTGAGTAAACACAGAGAAATGTTTTTCTTGACACATTAAAAATTTTAGTCAATGGTTTCCCATGGGAGTTAACTATATGTGTTTTGAAGATTCTAGTTATGTTCACATTAGCTTTTCCCTGATATTGTGGTCCATAATAAAGTTGTTCTATGCTAAATGCCAAGGGAATCAGTTTGGTATGTAGGGTTATTCAGTAAACATTTGATTTTATTGGCAGTTCGAAGTAATTTTGCTGGATATTAAAAAAAAATCCAGTTTAATAAAATTCTTGCAATTTAAGGTTCCTAGAAAGAGAAATTTAGAATTTGAAACTTTTTACATTGGATAATCGAGTTATTGATAACTAACTCCTTATAGGAACTTTGCTTTATATTTTTGGAGTTTATGAAATAAGAAGTATTTGAATTACTTGCTAAATTATGGTTTTAAGTCATTTGGTTGTTTTAACTGTGAGAAGTGCTATTATTAGTCATTTAACAACAAATATTTTAAATAGGGTAAATAGAAATAGTGATCTAATTAAAGGCAAATAATATTTATATATGCATATGCTAATTTATATTATATATGTAATTACTAACAGGAAATACAGACATCATTTGATAGGACAAATATTTTAAATATTTAGGAGAATACTGTGTCTGAAAGGATGCCAACAGAATTTGACCTGTGTAGATATTAATCATTAGACAAATTATTTTGCTAATTCTCTTATTAAATTCAATTTTCTCGAAAGGGTTTTAGAGCTTCATTGTGTAGCAACTATGCTATGTAGTAACATAGTTTTTTTTTATTATTAATATAGACTTTGCTAATTTCAAAATATCAGTTTGGTTGTTTTTATACATTGTTAGTATTTGACTGAGTATACTTTTTTTCATATTATATTTTGGCCTTTAGATGGCAGCATTGTCTTTGTATATTTCAGTGACAGCTTTTGTGTTTTTGATATAAAAGATAAAATACTTGTACATAGTTTTTGCAGACAGTATGGTTTATTTTTAGTTTTTGTTCTTTAGGTGGTTTAAATGATAAAATTTCTTGTTAAAATATTTTGGAATATTAGTTGCATCTGGAATGTTAAAAGGTGAACTTGTTATTTTATACAAAGTAGTAAGATAGTCAAAAAGTCTTTTTTTGTGGCACTGATTTAAGTAAGATAAATTTTAGAATAGGAGAAGGATTCCTGTATTTACCAGAGGGAAAACTTTTATTCAGGTGGAAATTGAGGACAGTGACTTGACATTTTAAGACCCAAATGCATTATGGTGAAGCAAAGAATTGAAGATTTACATTAAAATCTTCCCCAAAGAGAATGAGTTTCTGTTTTAGTCATTTTTGAGTTAGACAAGTGCCTTGCACCTACATGGATGTAGTTTGCATTTGCTATAAAACTCTCATATAGATCTGAAGAATACAACTTTAGTGAGGGTCTAGCATATTATTTACCACTGTCTCCCTGCTCCCTGATTCTAGAAGCTTCTAGTGAAGCTTCTAGCTTTCATATCACTTCTGTTTAATACTTGCTCTAAAGTTATTTAAAGGAATATTTAGTATATACACACTATATTTTGTGTGTATAGTTATCGATGATCTAGAAACCTCATTAAGTATATGCTCTATGCTGCTTTACTTTCTCTGATTCAGATTCGGCTTCTCCACTTTTAGACAGAGAAGCTCTTTGGGTAGCTTTTTATTTAGTTGTAAAATGATGAAGTCAGATTATCTGTCATTTGTTATCCAATTTGTTTTAAAGTACTAGGATTTTATGATTTATTATGAAAATATCTCCTGTGCTAAGTCCTATGATCATCATATTTGATATAGATCTGTATGTGTTATATGTATTTGATCTATTTTTGTAATACCTTCTACTTTGTAAAATTGAGTTGTGAACTAGTATAGATTTTTGAATTATCAAGAAAGTGGTGATGTATTATGAATACATTTTAGAAAGTTTTAGGGAAATGATAAATGTTTCCTGGTTAAAACTTGATTTCCTGAAAGTTAATGTGACCTTTTATTGCCACCTCCTGATGAATTGTTATTTTACTAGTGTCGTAATTCTGTGACATCTTCTAAAGACCTTTGGCTGCTGCTTTAACATTATTTGTAATATCGATTTTTATTGTTTTTAATTTTATTATCCTTTGGAGACTTATACTGATAAGGTAGGATCTAAATTCATCTTCAGGCTTCCTTCTTCCAGACTGCAAAACATTTGAGGGAAATGCCATGTTTGAGTTGAACTAAATTCAGTTCATACCTTGATCTTAGAGTTTCTTTCTCATGTGATTTGGGTTAGTTATCTTAATTTTTGTGCTTTCATTTCCTTGTTTGCAGAATGGATATAATACTATTTCAGGTATGGTCTTATGAGGATCAGACTAAATGAGATTAAGAGGTAAAGTTCCAAATATATCTTCATGGTCCCAAACATAGAAAGTCTTCAATAAAGAATACTTTTCTTCCTCTATCAGAGTTTATTTTCTGAAGTCTACCAATTTGACTTGGGATGTGTCAGTGCCCAGTATCACTTACTATGTTCTTATTTCACACATTAGCTATTCCGTTTCTTTTTCTTTTTTTTTCTTCTTTTTTTCTTTTCTCTCTTTCTTTTCTTTTCTTTTTTCTTTTTTTGCTGCTTTCTGTGATTTGGAGCTGTTGCAACAGCTAAGTGAATAGACTGGTAGCCATTATCATCAGCTGGGGTATGTAAGGTAAACAGTTGCATCAGAGCTTAAATAGCAGTAGCTAATTTAGTATTTTATGAAGGCTTGTGTTTCCTCACTCTTTTGCTTTTCAATTTAGAGTTCGTAAGTTAAGGGATTTGGTCCTCCCCTCCCCTCAATTCTCCCACTATACTCCTGATATCTTATTTCTCAAGTACTCCTTGTGAAATGAATTTAGTTGTAATCCCAGACATAAATAATATACATTTGTGAGGAATTTCGTTTTCACTTCAGCCTCCAAAACCTCCCAGGGAATATATTCACCTTCCTCGCCCCTTTTCCCTCTTAAGTGAATGAGGCATTTACTTACACTCAGAGTGATAGTTTCTAGTAAACAGTGATGCATGAAAGTGGCATTCTGAAGGAGACCTAAAGATACTGAGCTTCGTTTTATTATTGTATGCTGTATTTCAGGATTTTTTGGTCATTTGTTCATATTTAATAATAGTTACCTTTTATTGAGTATTTTATACTGTACCAGGCACTACGCAGTTCTACAAAGCTAATCCTTACAACTACCATATAAAGTTAGCTTATTTTTATTCCATT